TTGGCTGGGATACATGTATATGCTCCCAACACTGTGGTCTTCACTACTTGATAATCAGAAAATTCAGCGTCATTTAATACTGACGTAAATTCCTGTGCCTTACCTAATAATGCTGTATGAACCAACGATGCCCAATGCTGTTCCAGCCACCTCAAGGCTCGAGCCCGATTTTCGAAGCTTTCGAAAAATTACTCTGGTTCGGCCTCATTGAAGCGGGGAACAAACTGTACTGCTTTTTGTAAACTAAAATCATTTACAGAATGCGAAAACTGCCTCCTTTCTCTTTCCCTATCATATTCTTCCCTTGCGAATGCTCTCTGTTCCCTAGTTTGCTCAAGATTGATTTTTGCCAGCTCAAGTGCCAATGACGTTGATTCACCCTGAGACAACCCAGCTGCACCATACTGACCATTTTGCTCCGTAGGTGTATCATCTTCCTCCTGCGAGAACATAGGAGTTTTTGCCCTAGCTCCCGTAGAGGGAGGAGTCTGATGTGCCATCTCTTCTTCTATAAGTTTGTCAGCAATCAGTGAACGCAGTTGCGCAGCTGTGAGACTGCGTTTGTATGCAATGCCAATGGAACGAGCAATTTGCCAACAATGCAGTAGGGACAATTTAGGTAGGTTATGCAAAGTATATGCCGACACCAGACGTCTGACTCGTCTAGGTGGCATAAGTTATTCGCTATGCACAGTATGATTGCAGAATACCCCAACGTAACGTGTTAATTTGCAGAACACGCTTAGCTATGCACAGTACGATTGCAGAATACGCATACAAGCAAAGCCGACTGCAAAATTCTCCACACCGAACAGGCTAGTAACAACTGACACGCAAAATTTGTAAAGCAATGCCAGACAGCTACACTGTTCTAGAAGATTGACCTTAGTGAAGCGAGCACACCGAACAAGCTAGTAGCGAGCTGTTGAACGATCACACAATAGAAAGGCTGATCATAAAGCAACTGACACGCAAAATTTGTAAAGCAATGCCAGACAGCAAGCTGCACAATGTTCCTGCTACGAGCTTCACCCTGAACTCAACCGTTTCTCTAAGTCCAGCTCCAGATCCCAGACAGGCCCCCATATTACAACCCAGGATTCCAAATGGCCTGTTACCCCGGGTGTAATGGGAGCAAAATAAACACAGCAGAAAAAGTTTAGATTTATATTATCCTTCACCAATTTAGAACAGCAGTATGTACACTATGTACAGTGATAAGTATAGTGCACTCCACGGTAAGCAAGGCAGAAATAGAAGCCAAAAGATAGCAGACCGTGCTTCAACCAGCTCTAGAATGGGAATGACAAGGGCAGACAGGAGAGCGGTACCCACATAACCTCTGCGATTGCCAAAACCATCTTCTTATTGGCTAGAACCTGGTCACTAGTTGAACGACGGGGCCCCATCATCAACTCTTAGCAACCTGGTTTGCTGGCTGGGGGAGATAGCCTGTAAATGAGGGTGTGTACATGCGCCGAATAAAGGTTACGTACTCTTTGCATGCCACAGGAACGCCTGTCTCTTTCTATTTTGCATCTACTCCTCCTTTTTCTTAAAGGAATAAGCCTTGAGCATACATCGAGTGCCACCGAGTTAATCTGTTCTAGGGATAAGTTGGGGTCTGTGTTGCTTAGTCTATCTTCCCAGCTTATATCGGTTAGGACTTGGTTTACTTGGTCCCACTTTATGTTTTTGTTATTGAAGTTGAATTTGGTGAAGGTTCCCTCGTGACTAATCTCAATATGTCGGTCTGGGGCTCCGCACATACATGTCTGAACCTCGATTATGTTGTGATCTGAATATATTGTTTTTGATATGGTGACATTTCGTATCAGATCATCATTGTTAGTGAAGATGAGGTCTAGTGTATTCTCCAGTCTAGTAGGCTCTATTATTTGCTGGTTTAAGTTAAATTTTGTGCAGAGATTTAAAAGCTCGTGTGTGTGTGAGTTCTCGCCTGAGCAGCCTCCTGGAGTTATCACTGCAACAACATTATTTGCTATATTCCTCCATTTTAGGTGCCTTACGTTGAAATCCCCCAGGAGCAAGATGTTGGGGGCAGGAGCTGGAAGATTTTCCAGATAGTTATCAATTTTTAACAGCTGTTCCTGGAATTGCTGGGATGTTGCATCAGGAGGCTTGTAGACTACCACAATGACTAGGTTTTGGTTCTCGACCTTTACTGCTAAAACTTCCACTACATCATTTGAGGCATTTAGCAGTTCTGTGCAAACAAGTGAATATTTTTTTTATTTTTTTAGCTAACACACATGTAAATATAAATAATTAATTTCATCTTATTCCTCGTATATCTCCTGGTGGATCAGACTCTGATCCACCAGGAGATCTGGTCACAGACCGGGCCGCGGGGGCGTTGACACCCGGAACTCTCTCCAGGTAAACTCCAGGTATTATCTCCTTTATAGTATAAGAATAAGGTATTAAAAGGACTCCTATGGAAATAAGTCACTGACCTTTTTGGGTTATCCCAGGTTCTCTACACATATGCTGCATGGACACGGGGGTCGTCCCACAGTTACTAAAAACAACAGACATAGCCCCACTCCACAAAGGGGGCAGTAAAGCAACAGCAAAGAACTACAGACCAATAGCACTAACATCCCATATCATAAAAATCTTTGAAAGGGTCCTAAGAAGCAAGATCACCACCCATCTAGAAACCCATCAGTTACACAACCCAGGGCAACATGGGTTTAGAACAGGTCGCTCTTGTCTGTCTCAACTATTGGATCACTACGACAAGGTCCTAAATGCACTAGAAGACAAAAAGAATGCAGATGTAATATATACAGACTTTGCAAAAGCCTTCGACAAGTGTGACCATGGCGTAATAGCGCACAAAATGCGTGCTAAAGGAATAACAGGAAAAGTCGGTCGATGGATCTATAATTTCCTCACTAACAGAACACAGAGAGTAGTCGTCAACAGAGTAAAGTCCGAGGCAGCTACGGTGAAAAGCTCTGTTCCACAAGGCACAGTACTCGCTCCCATCTTGTTCCTCATCCTCATATCCGACATAGACAAGGATGTCAGCCACAGCACCGTGTCTTCCTTTGCAGATGACACCCGAATCTGCATGACAGTGTCTTCCATTGCAGACACTGCAAGGCGCCAGGCGGACATCAACCAAATCTTTCAGTGGGCTGCAGAAAACAATATGAAGTTCAACGATGAGAAATTTCAATTACTCAGATATGGTAAACATGAGGAAATTAAATCTTCATCAGAGTACAAAACAAATTCTGGCCACAAAATAGAGCGAAACACCAACGTCAAAGACCTGGGAGTGATCATGTCGGAGGATCTCACCTTCAAGGACCATAAACATTGTATCAATCGCATCTGCTAGAAAAATGACAGGATGGATAATGAGAACCTTCAAAACTAGGGAGGCCAAGCCCATGATGACACTCTTCAGGTCACTTGTTCTATCTAGGCTGGAATATTGCTGCACACTAACAGCACCTTTCAAGGCAGGTGAAATTGCCGACCTAGAAAATGTACAGAGAACTTTCACGGCGCGCATAACGGAGATAAAACACCTCAATTATTGGGGAGCGCTTGAGGTTCCTAAACCTGTATTCCCTGGAACGCAGGAGGGAGAGATACATGATTATATACACCTGGAAAATCCTAGAGGACTAGTACCGAACTTGCACACGAGAATCACTCACTACGAAAGCAAAAGACTTGGCAGACGATGCACCATCCCCCCAATGAAAAGCAGGGGTGTCACTAGCACGTTAAGAGACCATACAATAAGTGTCAGGGGCCCGAGACTGTTCAACTGCCTCCCAGCACACATAAGGGGGATTACCAACAGACCCCTGGCAGTCTTCAAGCTGGCACTGGACAAGCACCTAAAGTCAGTTCCGGATCAGCCGGGCTGTGGCTCGTACGTTGGTTTGCGTGCAGCCAGCAGCAACAGCCTGGTTGATCAGGCTCTGATCCACCAGGAGGCCTGGTCACAGACCGGGCCGCGGGGGCGTTGACCCCCGGAACTCTCTCCAGGTAAACTCCAGGTATGATAGTATTTATGTAACTTTATTTATGTATACCAGAATAAACTTACTTAGCAGTGTGTGTTGATACTCAATGCCAATGGAACGCGCAGTTCACCAGCAGAGTTGTAGAGATAGTCTGGACAAGTTTTGCGAGGTATACTCAGTCACCAAACACCTAACTTGCGTCTGTGGTATAACCCGCCAGCACTGCAACAGAACACAAACTTTTGCAATACACTCGACACACAAATAGCTTGTAGCAGTATCACACAACAAGTTAGCAGGTTTGCACTGCAACGATGTAGGCAGGTTTGTAGAGACGCTGTAGGAAACAATGCTGACAATACAGCCGACAACGGTTTCAGGACAGGCATCCCATATTATGAACACAGGTGTAGTCTTGTGGCCTGTCCACTTGCTTGTGAATGAGCCAGTGCTATGAACAATTAGCTATGTAAGGCCAAGCAAAATACAGCAATGAATGACTTCTTAGTTACATTTTCATTCACCAAAGATATGTGCAAGTTATGTACACTATATACAGAGAACTTGTATAAGACACAGTTAAACCATCTCCGACCAGACTTGGAGGTAAGTCTACCAATTCTCCTTTGAGTCCCAGACATATCTTCAAAGAATTATTGAGCATTTCCATAACTTGCTGGATGATCTGAGTAGTTAGCATAACAGCAGGACCCCGAACCTCTTTGCTATTTATTGCTGATTAGTTGGCCGGGAGGGCATACCATTATGGGCATGTGACATATGTGGAATGAGATGTAACATATTCTTTGCATGCCACAGCTTATGTGAATAAAACATAAAAATTAAACAAAAAGAGAATCATGTATAGAATAATTAAAAACATCGTTAATTATTTAGTTAACAAATCAAAATGTTTTGTAATTTTCTCTCATTTTATACTTCAGTATAGTTTTTTCAGCATCATATAATAAGTCTTAAATATTTCAGTTGTGAATGATGCTGCCAACATAGTGACCAAGAGCTATAGTCTAACTCCCAGGCCAGAATGTGAGTACTGTGTCACCACCACCAACAACAACAGTGACCAAAAACTACAGAGTTTCAGACCAGCAGTGTGTGAGAACTACACCTCAGCAGTGTGTGAGGACCACACCATCAACACTGTCAGAACAACACCATCAACACTGTCAGAACAACACCATCAGCAGACTGTCAAAACCATACTGGATTATAAAACTACTGTTACTGGGTGTCAAACCCACTCTTGCTGGCTGTTAGAACTACTGTTACTGACTTATAGAACTACTGTTGCTCGGTGTCATACCCACTCTTGCTGGCTGATAGAACTACTGTTGTTTAGCGTCAAACCCACTCTTGCTGGCTGTCAGAATTACTCTGCTGGGTGTCAAACCCACTCTTGCTGGCTGTCAGAATTACTCTGCTGGGTGTCAAACCCACTCTTGCTGGCTGTCAGAATTACTCTGCTGGGTGTCAAACCCACTCTTGCTGACTGTTAAAACTATTGTTGATTAGTGTTAAACCCAATCCTGCTGGCTGTTAGAACTACTGTTGTTTAGTGTCAAACCTAATGCTGCTGGCTGTTAGAACTACTCTGCTGGGTGTCAAACCCACTCTTGCTGGCTTTCAGAAGTACTCTTGCTAGGTGTCAGTTCTGGAATGCAAGATGAGTCCTGCAGGTGATAAAGTCCTCTCTATCCCTGCGCTCGGCCGTCCATTTCGTCTCGGAAATCTTTATGATTGTGTAAATGAAAATTTAATCCCAGGAATAACTCTCTGGGACCAAGCAACACTAAAGGGAAAAACAATTCAACATCTTGAAACCTCGAAATTCTCCATAATTGCATCTGATTCATTGGAAAAGAAAAGCAATGCTCTTGATATAAATGCTGAAATGAAGCTAAGTTTTCTTGCCGGTCTGGTTGAGGTCTCGGGGTCTGCAAAGTACTTAGACAATGAGAAGTCTTCTAGCAAACAAGAAAGAGTCACTCTACATTATAAGTGTACTACTAAATCGGAAGAGATGACGATGGAGCAGCTTGGTCCTGGGAGAGTGGAACATCCTGAGGTATTTGACAAAGGCACTGCAACACATGTAGTCACTGGAATAATATATGGGGCTCAGGCTTTCTTTGTTTTCGAGAGAGATTGTTCCTCCTCTTCACATGACAAGGAAGTTCATGGAGATCTGAATGTTATGGTTAAAAATTTACCGAAAATTAATATTAATGGGAGTGGAGAGCTAGACATTTCCGAGCATGATAAGAAGAAAGTAAAGAAATTTACTTGCAATTTCGATGGAGATTTTCTTCTTCCTGAAAATCCATGTTGCTACGAAGATGCTGTTAAGGTTTATAAGAAATTACCACATCTTTTAGGAGAGAAAGGAGAGAAAGCTGTACCAGTCAAAGTTACCCTGTATCCTCTAACACTGTTGGATAACAAAGCCTGTAAACTTGACCGTGCCTTTAAAGTGCAGTTTTTGACCATTAAAACAGAAAATGTATTTGAAGAATTCCATTCGCTGACTGTGCGGTGCAACGATTTAGATAATACTCCTGTAGTAGAAGCAAATAATGCCATGCAAAGGAAAATATCTGAATTTAAATCACTGATTACTGCTTATAAGTTGAAACTACAAGGGGATCTGTCAGAGTTACTACCTGGAATCAGAGGTGGTGGTACCGAGGAATCCCGTCTAGCTGAACTTCTTATGAAAAAAGAAGCCTCTCCATATAGCTACCATAACTTAGACACTTGGCTTAAAGATGAAGAAAAACGTGTCAAAATTCTCAATGAATATATCAAAATGTTTTCAGATATAAAGTTTGCCTCCCAGCCTAGTGATTTTGACTCCATAATTATGAGTCCTGAGAATGACTACGTTATTTGCTTTAGATTTCTTCTGCCACAAGACAACTCTCAACTTCATAAAATGAAATTATATAATACAAGAGAATATGACAGTAAAAGTGACCATACTGATGAAGGAAGGAAACCTGAGAACAGCTTGTCGACAAAAGATGTACCTGGAGTAGATATAGATGATAAAATCTCCATAATGGAGAAAGCCATACTGTTTAGAAACTTTCATGGCTCTAATAAAAGACGAACAGGAACTGCCTTCGTAGTGGAAATGGAATTTTCTAATATGTTACAATTTCAGGCTCATATTCAGTGTTACAGGTATGGTCGTCTCTTACATGAAAACTATGAACTTCCCTCTGCACCTGGAATACCTCAAGCCGACAGTGCACAAAGTACTCACAAGAGTATTTCCATTCAGTGGAAGTCACCAGACTATGGCGCATCAGTTGTCCAGACATATGAAATTCTTTGTCAACGAGTCAATAAAGACAGTTGTCCTGTGAGCTTTACGACAAGTGCTGAGACTCGCAGATTTACTATTCCAAACCTTGAGCCCAGTTGTGCTTACCTTGTGAGTGTACAGAGTATTTGTGAGGCCGGAGTTGGTCCCTCCAGTAAGGAAAACACAGTCTCCACTCGACCAACTAGCCCTCCAGGTAAACCAGAAGTGTATCAGATTTCAAGAAAAACTATAGAAATACGTTGGTCTGAGCCACTCTGCCGTGGTTCAGACTGTAGCATACAGAGTTATGTAGTGAAGATGCTGAAAGAAGAGACCAACACATGGGAAGAAATAGAAAAAACTAAAGCAGAAAAGCTTTTCTGTAGAACAGAAGTTACACCAAACTCTGTCCCAAGATTTAAGATAGTTGCTGATTGTGGCAATGATGGATGCAGTGTGGACAGTGATCCTAGTGATCTCTTTACAGTAAATACTAATAACAAGCTTACAAAAGCTAATAACAATAAAATATCGAAAGAAAACTTATGTGGTAAATTAAATCCTGTGGCTGGAAGTACTCCACGGATTTATATGCTCCATGCAAAGTTAGTTAATGACAACAAGGAAGATTTAATCCGAAAGTATGAGCTAGGAACGCCAGAGCATAATAGTCAGGAAAAAGTAATCTTACTAGTTGGTAAGACAGGAGCAGGCAAGACAACTTTGATCAACAGTCTCATCAATTACGTGTTTGGTGTTAAATGGAAGGATGAATTTCGCTTCAAACTGATATCGGAAGACACTGGTGGATGCCAGGGCAAGACTCAATATATTACTTCTTACACTATACACCATCAAGAGGGTTTCAGCTATCCCAACACTCTCACCATTATTGATACTCCAGGGTTTAGTGACACTTACAGAGTGATGATAGATAGAGAGTTCACCAGTCTGATACGCACCTTCTTTAAGACCACAGGCACAGGTGGTATTAAGACCACAGGTACAGGTGGTATTAAGACCACAGGTACAGATGGTATTAAGACCACAGGTACAGGCGGTATTAACCACATTGATGCTCTAGGCTTTGTGTGTCAGTCGTCACAGTCACAATTAACTCCAGCACAAAAGTTCATTTTTAACCAAATGTTCTCCCTGTTTGGCAAAGACATTAAGGATAATACTTTTTTGTTTCTCTCTTTTGCTGATTTGCAAAAACCACAAGTTCTTAGTGGAATTAAAACAGCTGATTTACCATACCGAACATACTTCAAGTTTAACAACTCTGCTACATATGCTAATAACACTGATGATACTAGGAACACTGATACTGCATATGACAGTGATAACGAGCATGAAATGCTGAATGTTGATCAAATTTTCTGGCAGATGGGAGAGGAGAGCTTCAATGTATTTACGAAGCAGTTGAATGTAGCTCAGAGTAAATATCTTCTACAGACTGAGGACGTTCTTAAAGAACAAGATAACATCGCAGGAATTTGTACAAAACCATCACACACAAAAGAAGCAGTCAGATACCACCAATCTAACATAGTCACTGCCACTGAAAACTTGAGAGAGCGCTATGAGAAAACTAAAAACCATATCTTAAAAATTAAGGATGAATATGAAGAAGTTCGTCAGGAAGTTATGGAACTGACTTTATCACTGAGAGAGTCACTAGCGAGCATACAGGGGACGTCTCTCAGGCCAGTCTCTCTCACAGCATTGCAACATATTGACACCTTAATTTCTAAGGAGAACATACAAAAACCCTTAGGTTGGAAGATGGCGGTTAAACAGTTGGAAAATATCAGAAAATGCACAGAATTCCTACAAGAAATTGCTGATGATACGTTTAACCCATTTGAAGATTTCAGCTGAAAATCGCAATATATAGCAAAGGAAAACTGTAGAAAAGAATTGCGATATTCTGTTATATACTTTTGACGTATTTTATGGGGTCTACCCTTGCAAGGATGCAGTAAAACAGACTTTCATGTTGATCACCTGGTCTACCAAGTTGTTGTAGCTAGCAGCTTGTAAACCCACATTGCCAAAGGCAATAGCAGAAACATTATTAGTTCTACGGTACGTAATGCTGAGTTGTTGAGGGGTTGTTGAGGTGGTTCAGACATGCAGAGAGGATGGAACAACATAGAATGACTTGGAGAGTGTATAAATCTGTAGTGGAGCGAAAGCTGGGTAGAGGTTGGCCTAAGAAAGGTTGGAGGGAGGGGGTAAAGGAGATTTTGTGTGTGAGAGGGGCTTGGACTTCCAGCAAGCATGCGTCAGCGTGTTAGGAGCAAATTGAGACAAATCGTTTTTAGGACTTGACGTGCTGTTGGAGTGTGAGTAAGGTAACATTTATGAAGGGATTCAGGGAAACTGGGAGGCCGGACTTGAGTCCTGGAGATGGGAAGTAGGATAGGATGTTAATGTTACAGTTTTATAACTGTAGTGTAAGAATGCCTCTGACAAGACAGTGATGGAGTGAATGATGAAGAAAGTTTTTTTTTTTCGGGGCCACCCTGCCTTGGTGGGAGACGGCCAGTGTGTTAATATAATAAATATACAGCAGGATTCTTTTGTCGAATACAGAGAAGACTATGGAGCAAAACTCTTCTCCAGGCTGAGGGACTGACCACCTCAAAACTACGCTCATGCTGCCTCCTCGGTATTAAACTGAAGAAGCCTACTGTGTAGGCGAAACATTTTGGAATAAAGATAACTAGGTCTTGCACATATGCCTTACTTATCGAACATTTATAATAAGTGTCATACGATATATAATATCGAAAACAAATGTTCAGGTTTAAAAGTTACAAAAATTTGTATTTAAAAAATAACTAACTGACCAAACGCTCAAGTTTCAATGATACAAAACGTATTTTTATAGAATTTAGGTTAGATTAAGTAAGATTACTCAGACAACAGGAAAATTGTTTCCTGACACTCTGGTCTTGGTCATCTGACGGAGACCTTCCACTGGCTTACCCCTTCACTACTTGAAAAATATTATTTTATATAGAATTTATTCTACTTTATAAAGTATATAAAGTTTACTTTAACAGGTGTTTCACAAAATATGTCAACTTTAGAATTTATAATAAAAAAGTCTAACTTATAAACTGATAAAGTAAATAATTTAAAAATATAATTTTTAGTGTTTAAAATTTTACTGAAAATTAAGTAATAATAAAAGATTTTAGTAACTGGTGGAATAATTTTAATAGTTAATCAAAAAATGTCATGATTGGGACTTGTTTTCCATGGATGAAGGTTCAATATTTGAAACAATCCATGAACTAGTTTATCTGGAGTTTATCTGGAGAGAGTTCCGGGGGTCAACGCCCCCGCGGCCCAGTCTGTGACCAGGCCTCCTTAGGTCAGTGTCCCAGGATGCGACCCACACCAGTCGACTAACACCCAGGTACCCATTTTACTGATGGGGAACATAGACAACAGGTGGAAAGAAACACGTCCAATGTTTCTACTCTGGCTGGGAATCGAACCCAGGCCCTCACCGTGTGAAGCGAGAGCGTTAACCACCAGGCCACCAGAGCCCCTAAGTTGTGCAAGACAGGTATAAAACACCGACAAGATGAAAGTTAAGACACATGTGCAACATGTTGCACATGTGTCTTAACTTCATCTTGTCGGTGTTATATACCATTCTTACACATCTGGTTATCTTGTAGTCAACACTAACTCCAAGGCTGAGGGACTGATTACCTCATCTTTTGTATATAGTTCTTCAGTTTTCTTATTATGCCCAAAGAATCTGTATTGATAAAGCCACTGGAGGGCGAAACGTCTACAATAAAGATAACCAGATGTTGTACAAGTGTCTTAACTTTCATCAATCCATGTACTGGCAAGTGTAAATTATTTCTAGCCCACCTTTGTATTTATTGCCGTTTAATTAAGAGAAATTTCCTTCATAGGGATATATTGTAATTATTTAAGACTCATGTGACTATTTCAGTGTCTACTTTTAACATCTGAATCCAGAGAAAAATAAGTTCACAAATAACTCACACATATGAGAATGGAATTTATGGTGGATTTTCAGACAAACTTGGAGCAGTAACTGGTGAAGGTGAGGAAGACAGTATATACAAGGAAGGAAGTAGTGAAACAACAATAGTAGTATTGTAAGTAGTGCAACAGTGAGAAAGATGGCAATAAGAGCATAGTGGTAGTGACACAATAACAATGAGTGGAGTTTTAGCAAAGTAATAGCAGCTCTAGTAATAGTAGTAGTAGAGGTAGTCCAAGAACAAGATAGACAGGAGCTCTACAAGAACACTAATGGCTCATGAGGGTGGCACAAAAACCTAGTGACATAAGATATATATTATGTACACTAATATGCAATGCATTTCTACCAAACTAACCCAAGTTCTTAAATAACATTTAAGATTTTAATATAGACAATTAAGTAGGATTTCTTACAAAGTTAACTACAATCATATTAACAATAATAAAGGTAGGTTATAATCAGCTGGAACAATTTCAAAAGCACGATTTATTATTTCAAAAGTATTCAGTGATCTTCAGTTCTGTGGAATGATTGAGCAGATGAAGACACAGCAAGTTACTTAGTTATGTTGTAAATACAATGATTGAGAAGATGAAGACACAGCAAGTTACTTAGTTATGTTGTAAATACAATGGGCCAAGATGTTGCTAAGCTGTTCTTTATCAATGGTTATTCAGACATTTAAGACATGTAAATTTTTCTTCATTCCATAAAGTTAATTTATATATGTTAATTTACCTTGTATAATGTACTCTATATCACTTTTACAAAAATAAAGTTTGTATGGTTATCTATTCTTCATTATCATACCATTCACTTACAATATAGCAATGCAGGAAACTAAGACCAAAGATCTGAGAATATGATATACCAGTGTATAAAAAAAGTGTACTTTCATTCAAGGTTCTACTGGGAAAAGGATCCAATGAATGCAATAAGATATACCCTTAAATGGGATAGATAACAATGGAGTGCAATTTAGGTTCCTGTAAAGAGGGACAAACCGGAGAATGCTGGGAAAGCCACACCTGAAGCTCACTTCAATTATCACTGAGGCCTCAAATATTCCACTGTAAATAAGTCAAGGATTGCAAATAGATGTATACCGGCAACATTAAGCAGTAGGTGTCTACAGACTAGTAGGGTTAGTAAAGTCTTCATATGGAGATAGTGGATAATTAGTAAGGTGCAAAGGACTGAAATGCTGCAAAGGACCTGTGTAGAAGGTTGAGTAAGGTGTGGAGGAGGAGTAATGGGAGGTGGATCAGCATCAATTATAGGTTTTGTCTCTTTGATGTATTCGGAGATGGCTTCAGGCATTTCAGATGACCAGAAAGCAGCTGACAGAACAATATCAGAGGTAGAAGGTGGAAGTTGAGCAAAGGAGAGAATGGAAGTTATCACAGAAGAGTAAAGGGATGAGAGGTTCGAGGGAACTTGGGAAGAAACTTGGGAGGGGAGAGGAAGAAACTTGAAGTGGGGACAGGAGAGGAAGGAATTATATGAGGGGAAGGATGAACTTTCGCACCTGTAACAGATACAACAAGAGGTAAAGGACTAGGTTCAAAGATAGAAAAAGGAAAATGTTTGGGAAGTAGGGATGCGAGGTAATGGTGTGGTTGTGGGAGGCCGTGTAGATATTGAAACATGCAAGTGAAAGAATGGAAATGCAAGGACAGGAGGAGTCAACGAGGTAGATACCTCAGAGTGCCACTAAGGTTGGAGGCTGTCGAGTAACTCTAAAATAAGAAACCATTGAAGTCTTCCCTGGAGGCGGAGATGGGAGATTGCAGTGGTGTAAGAAAAACCTTCTTTGAAACAGTGGATTTCCCATTCCTTTAAGACCTGACAACGGCAAGAATAAGCCGGGTGAACCTCATTACAATTAAAGTAAGAGGAAGGTTGGCTGCAGAATGTATTGGTATGGTCAGCAGCACCACAGACTGGGCATTCTTCCATGAACCTGCAATAATTTTCCAGGTGGCCAAATTATTATTATTAGTAGTAGTAGTATTGTTATTATTATCAAGAAGAAGCACCAAACTACAAGGGCTATACAGCACTGCAGGGCAGTGGATAGTGGAGGGGTTGAGGGTAGCAAGAGATTGAAGCAGAAAGGACTGAGGGGAATGCTGAAGGTATCATCAGAGTTTGTGGAGTAAATCAGTTGTCAAAAAGTCAACAAGAGAGTCCAGATTAAAGAGCGAGCAGTCCAACAGAATGTGGCCCCATACCCATGTGCACCCCATACCCATCCTGTGGGCGGTAGTCAAAAGATTACAAAGGTACATAATGGGTCCAGGGACTGGACCCCAAAGTTATGATAGCTGAACTAGTTACAAAAGTAATGAACTCCACAACAGATACTGGAACTTGACAATTTTCACAGAGATACCCATGAGTAAGACGAGTGTGGCCAATGCGAAGATGGGTGAGAGTAGTCTCCCAACCTCGACACTGATGGTAAGAAGACAGCCAGTAACCTACACTCGGTTTAATAGAATGAAGTTTGTTACCGAGCAGATTAGACCAACGTTGTTGCCCAAGGGTGTGAAGGTGGGCAGCTATTACAGCAAAATAGTCCATAAATGGAACACCTCTATTTGAAACTGGTAGATCATGTACTGCTGACTGCACAGCAGTGTCTACCTGTTCATTGCCCTGTGTGTCAACATGACCAGGGACCCAACAAAAAACAATATTTATGTGCTTAGTAGAGATACGGCGTAACCAAAGTAAAGCACTAATTGAGTCTGAAACAACCACAAATGGTGACACAGGCAGAGATGCAATATGGGTGAGTGCTGCAAGAATGGCATACAATTCAGCAGTAAAAATGCTAGCTGAGGATACTAAATGCTCTCTCACGACACTGTCCGGAAACACTGCTGGGAATCTGACGCTGTCACAAGACTTAGAACCATCTATTCCTACCTTGTCTCACACAACATATAAAATACTGCGTGGAATAGACAAGGTGGACAAGGACAGGATGTTCCAGGGAGGGGACACAGAAACAAGAGGCCACAATTGGAAGTTGAAGACACAAATGAGTCAGAGAGATAGTAGGAAGTATTTCTTCAGTCATAGAGTTGTAAGGCAGTGGAATAGCCTAGAAAATGACGTAGTGGAGGCAGGAACCATACACAGTTTTAAGACGAGGTTTGATAAAGCTCATGGAGCGGGGAGAGAGAGGGCCTAGTAGCAACCGGTGAAGAGGCGGGGCCAGGAGCTAGGACTCGACCCCTGCAACCACAAATAGGTGAGTACAACACATTAAACCCTTGTCAGTCTGGATTCAGGAATAATAAAAGCACAAATGATGCTATCGTACACATGCTAGAACTGATGTATACCGCACTCAAAAAGAAAGAAGTCCCGCTGGGCATTTTCATTGATTTACATAAAGCTTTCGATACAGTCGACCATGAACTGCTGTACTCCAAACAAACGCACTGTGGTATCAGAGGCCACTCCTTCAACTATCTAAAATCATACCTTAGTAACAGAACTCAATATGTGTATGCAAATGGTGCAAACTCTTCCACCCAACCAATCACAGCAGGAGTCCCACAAGGAAGCGTCCTTGGACCACTCCTCTTTCTCACCTACATCAATGATCTACCGAATGCATCACAGCTACTCAAACCCATATTATTTGCAGATGACACTACATATGTCGTGTCCCACCCAAACACAGTCATACTTGCAAACGGAGTCAATGCCGAATTGCAGAAAATATCTGCCTGGATGATGACTAATAAACTTACCCTGAACACTGACAAAACCTATTTCATTCAGTTTGGAAACAAAGCTGCAAATGATCCAATTAACATAACGCTAAATGGATCATCAGTCACAAGACTTACAGAGGGAAAATTCCGAGGTATCCACCTTGACAGTAGCCTTAAGTTCCAAACACATATACAACAAATCACCAAGAAAATCTCCAAGACTGTAGGAATACTATCAAAGATAAGGTACTACGTTCCACAATCAGCTCTGGCACTGTACCATTCACTCATATACCCTTATCTTACACATGGAATTTGTGCATGGGGATCAACAACATCCAATCACTTAAGACCTCTAATAACCCAACAAAAGGCAGCAGTAAGAATGATAACAAATTTCCACTCCCGCCAGCATACTCCACCAATTTTCAAAAGTCTGAATCTGCTCACCATTATGAACATCCATACTTATTCATGTGCCTACTACAAACACAGAACAATACACGCAAATATAAACCCTCCACTCAAACTTCTCCTAACCAACTTAAACAGGACACATGACCACAACACAAGACACAGATCTCTTTTTGATATACCTTGTGTCCATATCACACTGTGTAAAAACTCTATGCACATAAAGGGCCCCAAAATATGGAATTCATTACCAGAAGATATTAAAGTAACCCAGTCTGAAAATAAATTTAAGACTCTTCTCAAAAACCACTTAATCACCCTAGACTAAATGCTAAATACTCAGTACAGATATACTCACTTATGTACTCCCACATCATAACTTCAACAATTACCTTGAACCTTTTATCCATTGTTGACAGGAATATAATTGAATCATTGTTTTCACAAAAAGCATTTTGAATATATGAATATATCTTTTGTCTTATACAAATTAGATTCACTTAAAATTAATAATCTACTGTACAACTATGAAATAATTACTGTCCTACTGTACAACTATGATACAATCCTTAGTATTAAGTAGAATGTAAGCCAATAATGTTAAGTTGGCCCATAATGCCTAGGCATAATAGAGGCTCTCTTTGCACTACAACCCACTATTGTAAATACAAAATCTTAATGTATAATTTGCAAAGACATAAAATAATAAATAAATAAATAAATAAATCTGTGTACAGTGCGATGGCATGAGAATGAGAGCGGAAGTGGTCAAGAAAAAGAGAGCGGGAAGCTACCATAGACAGTTGGGCTTTCGCACATGGCAGTGAGAAAGAACAGACACGAACAGTTGAAACTTCACAAGAGAGTAGGAGAAAGTGAGATGCTACATGAACATAGAAAGGTCGTATATGAAGGGAAGATAAGAGCGAATGTAGGTGAAGAGAAAAGGGACGGAGTAAACAGGGGTGACGAACAAATAATGTCTACTAACATCAGTGACTGATAAATTAGACACATGTGCAACTCTTGGGTATCTTTATTAAGGAAACGTTTCGCCACACAGTGGCTTCATCAGTCCATACACAGGAGAAATTTGAAGAACAGGAGGAGAATGAGGTAATCAGTCCCTCAACCTTGAGTCGATGTGGTCAGTCCATTAATCTTGAGCTGCTTCTCCGCTCATATGCCGTATTCTACTCAAGATTGATGGACTGACCACATCGACTCAAGGAGTGGCCCGGTGGTCTGGTGGCTAAAGCTCCCGCTTCACACACGGAGGGCCCGGGTTCGATTCCCGGCGGGTGGAAATTCCGACACGTTTCCTTACACCTGTTGTCCTGTTCACCTAGCAGCAAATAGGTACCTGGGTGTTAGTCGACTGGTGTGGGTCGCATCCTGGGGGACAAGATTAAGGACCCCAATGGAAATAAGTTAGACAGTCCTCGATGACGCACTGACTTTCTTGGGTTATCCTGGGTGGCTAACCCTCCGGGGTTAAAAATCCGAACGAAATCTTATCTTATCTTATCTTAAGAGTTGCACATGTGCCTAATTTATCAACGTGTCGGTTCTGTGAACCATTCATCTACAATCCTGTCAGACACTGCAACTTCTTGGGTTCTTAATACTTGGGAATTCTTTG